CCTATCCCCTGTGTGCCTTGGCGTGGTTGTCCTTGCAGATGTCAGCAGCAAGTCCTCGTGGCGGATGTGGTGAGCCACAACGACTACCACGCGGCATGGGATCTCAGTCGCCAACTGGCACAAGAGGACAAGCACCAACTCAGCAAACGCAGCTCATACACTTACGACACACCACCAAAGGACACACTGACTGGGACGACCGCTAGCACCAACGCCAACACTCAGAACAACGGTAACACGGGGTGGAGTGCATGGGCAGCAAAAGGTGCAACAACAGCCACAACAGCACCAGCCACACAAGGAAGGAGAGTGGTTGCCATGGGAACGAGGGCTTTGAGCGACTCTACTGTTCAGAAACGGGCCAAGCGCACCAAAGTGGTCGAGAAAGGACAGGGCCCAAAGGGCCGGAAAGGGCAGGCGCTGCTGACGGCGATGTTTCAGACAAAGCCCAAATCTTAAGTGACTGCTCTGAATTCTTTTAGTAGGTAGCAAATACCAAACACTATATCAAGCCGACAATGAATAGGGCAGCCAGGCCGCTACCCGATCAGGCATTCAAACCCTACAAGAACCCTAAAAGCAATAGTAAAGGCGACAGACACCTTCGCGCAGAGTGGCACAGCTGTGATGTGGCACGAGTCAGGCCATGCAAGCATTGCAGCAATAAAATATAGCAGGGTACACCAACAAACAACCCGAAAGAGTACATTCAAACCTGTCAACACTAGTGTGTGTACCTAGCATGATCGCTTAAAAAACTGGTTTAAAGAGATGCTATTATATCACAAATAGTTACACCTGATGTGGACACACTAGGGCCTTTTAAATGGACCCATTAGAGCTGAGAACATGCTTAACACTTTTTTGAATTGGGTGCTATTTTATCACAATTGTTTGTTGCCGTTACACCTGATGTGGACATACTAGGGCCTTTTAAAATGGACCCATTAGAGCTGAGCACTGGCTTCATACTTATTTCCCAAAGGCTTATACACTCTACGCCGCAGTATATTGTTTGAGCAAAGCAGCCTACAAGCGTTGTGAATACACCAGGTGAATACAATCCACTACAGGTGAATACACACCACTACAGGTCAATACACCCCACCACAGGTCAATACACCCCACTACAGGTAAATACACCCACCTACACGGT